TATATATATATATATATATATATATAGAGAGAGAGAGAGAGAGAGAGAGAGATTTTATATATACATATAAAATCATAAGTGTCCTGGTTTTATTTCTCTAGAGAACCCTGCCCAACATAGGTGTATTGGTTGATATCAGAGTTAACAGAGTGGCATGACATTTTAGAAAATTTGAACATTTGGGGCATTGTTAATCTCCACTTCATTGGGACAAGTCTTGAATTATTTTCTCTGAAAGGAATGATTTTTTAAAAATCACACAGTCATATAAATAAAATAAGCAATGTAATATAAAAATGTAATGAGAACTTTTTATAAATTGGTATGCTATATTATTCTATACATAGTTTAAAGTGTAATATAAATATAATAAGATATCATGACAAAACTTAGATAGACATTTTATATGTTGTAACTCTTGTTTGTGGCTGGCATAGTGATATTGGTAGAGGGGGTGAAAGAGTTAGCCTGATATTGTCCAAAATACTAGAAATAAGATTTAATTTGTTAAAAATTCAAAATGTAACAGCCTCCTCCCTTGAAGTTAAAAATCATTTTAAGCACAATCACTTTGGATGTTCCAACTCAGGAAGGAGACTAGCAAGGCCTTGAAGATTATTGGCCAGGAAGAAAGCATCCCTCCTCCTTAGACCTCAGGAGTGGTGGCTTGGGAAGACCAGGCACAGACGCATCCCCAATTTAGACAAACAATTGTGTGTGATGCTTCAGGAGATGGTGGTCTTATGGTCCCAGGAGAAGTGTAGGTGTGGATAGTTTCCTAAAAATCACTGCAAAGCCTCCCTTCTCAGAATATCAATTGTATCCCGTAACCATTGTAAACATTTGCTAATTTCTTCCCATGGCAGTGGGAGAGAAAAGTCTGCTGATCTCTTCCTGTGATCATTGCGTCTGTCACGCCATTTAATCTATAACGTGCTTGATTTATACTGGAAGTTTGAAGCAGTTTGGAGGTAGCAAACCCCACTGTTTCCTTCTTCTCATATTTTAAAATAACCTGAAGTGTTTCTGAAATCGGTCTGCACTCTGAAACAGTGACAGGCATTCCAGACCTTGTGTCCTGAAAAAAATACCATATGCTCTGGTACATTATTCTAGTTCAGAAAGAAATTATTGAGGCGCGCAATTCTTTAATATTTTAGGTTAATTTCTCATATTATCTCTATACCTCTTTACTTTTTTCATAAGACTCTTTCATATAGCTATTGTAACCATAATGTGCTCCATTGAAATCTATTTGGAAAATGATCGAGCTGCACAAAAGGAAAGAGAAACAACACTGAGCTCTTTCTCCTTCTCTCCTCGTCATCCTTGTTTTCCGCCTTTCTCGCTCCCGTTTTCATATGTGCACACCAACCGTCTGACCCACACATCCGCATGTTCGACTACTCGGGTTACAAGGATCTATAAATAAATAATTTGAATATGCCTATTTCTATTAGGCAGTTGAACTGAATTATAGGATCCAATGCTATTTTGTGTAATATAAATGATAATCAAGCCAACAGCAAACTGGCTTCTAAGAAGGATAAATTTGTTTTCATCAATAAATGAGCAGTCTTCCCCGAATGTCTGTGCTTGGCTGAAGGAGAACTGGCCTTGTAGAAGTGATATTGGAATAATCTGTTTTCTCACTAGCAGTGCACAACCTCACTTTGGCATGGCCGTGGGCTAATCACACCACATCTCCTGATAGCACAGACATATAAAGTTTTTCCTATCACCCATTGCACACAAACATGTTTTCGCGGTCCCTAAAAAAGCTGAAACTCAAACAACAACCATGCACACATATGTACAGACTGTTGCAGAATTTACCAACAGGATATTTTTTTTACATTTACATGCATGTGAAAATACATCTAAAATTACAATTCTATGTTTTATTCCCTGTATCTGTTAGTAAAGCTAAAAGCTCAGGAAGGAGCACTATGTTTATTTTTAGCACCCAATCATGGAACTGTCTTAGCTTCAGTAACCCAAGCAACCTGTTTTTCGGTATCATCATCGAATAATAAATGCACTTTTCCTTTCAGAGAGTAAGATATCTATTCCTCCAGGAAAGCTACTTGTGCATTTTAAACAAAATGGATGAGTGCTAAGCAAAACAAAAGAAACCTGCAATGACATATTCTTTAATAATGAAAATTTGGTTGCAAGGTAATTGGCAATTAATTCCTAGACCTAAAGACTATGTGATTGTCTCTCCTGGTCACTTTGGATTCCGATAGTCACACAGATTCCCATACCCTCATACTTTACATATTTGGTCATGATGTCAGACTATTCTGGTCATTTGCATTTACAACTTACTAAGAATAACCACTGTCCACTGGTAGCGGTTCTTTATCAGGGTGTTTATCACCCCTTTATCACCTCCCCTCCTGTTTCCTCTTCCCATGTGCTAACAACACAACAGGGTTCTCACTAATGCCATCTAGTTTAGCCTGCTCTCTCTAGAGAAGGTTCCACCTTGAAATGCTCTCATTTCAGTTTAGCCGCTGCCCCATTTTCTGGGGCATTGTTTTCAGCTTATTACACTCAGAAAATCTTGAAATCTCATTCACTTTGAGGTGTTAATAGCCGAGTGCTCCATAGACACATGTCCTAAGAAATTTGCATTTTAATAGAGGACTATTCCTTCATAACTCAAAGGAATGAAATGTCCTTAATGGTGGAATTTCAAGCCTCACTGACACGGGTGGAGGAAATATTTGGGGTCTGAATACTGCTAGCTGGCCATGATACTTTTCATCCAGACTTATTGAACCGCAGTGGAAGTTGGAGCTCATATTTGAGCAAGATTAAAACAAAACAAGTCTAAATTGCCAAATAGGTGGATGACCCTATTTCTCAAAGGGAGGCAGCCTTCCCAGTCCCGTCTCCCCGAAGCGGTGCTCGTGGGTCACGGCGGCACTGTCCCGGTTCACGGTCTCGACTTGAACAGATGGAAGTACCTGCGTCCGATTTGAGTGTGCTCTGCAAAGGTTATTTCACGAAACAAATATCTTGAACACAAGGGAACAAAGAAAGTATAATACCTTTTTTCTTCACTTCCATAACAGTTTCCTTCTCCATTTTCTTCTTCGCGTCTTCTTTCCCTGCTAGTAAAATAATAGTGTTATAAGGCTCTGCAAAATCAAAAGCTTGCACAGTCGGCTGGTTTATATTTCAGAGGATGCGCGACTGTCATTCAGGTACAATATTAAGCTTGAATAGAGAAATACTCAGTAAGAGACATAAGGCAGGTCAAATACACACGATTAAATGAGTACCTTCATCATGTACTAACAGTTGAGGTGTGCTTTCTTTTCAAGAAGGGGACAGTTTTTTGCCGCCATTAAAAAGAAATGTTTCATGTCAGCTGAAACAGCAAATGACATTATTAATGAGGATGGAGTTAAGTAGTTTTAATAAACTATATTAGAAGAAATATATGGACTCGTCCCTGAACTACCAAGTCATTGGAGCGTGTTGGAAACTCGAGAACATCCGAGGTTCCAGTTGGGCTTGAGATGAACTCTGGGGAAGCAACAGTTACAAAGAGCATGCAAATACAGCAAACCAGTCAATGTTTTCCTCTTCTTCATGGGACTATTCGATCTTTTAATGAAATGTTAAAATTTCAATGGACTAAGTTGAATAGCAGTATTCCCATTTGTCTATAATCAAGTAAAGTCAACATACCAGACAGTAGTCATTAATTAAAGCCCAGTCCTGGGGATTTGGGGCTCGGCTCAGGGAGTCTCTGGGACATGGGGTACAGTGAGTGGTGTGACCCTTTGCCTGGGCATGCCGACACAGTAGGATACGCTGGGCGCCACTAGGGTTCCCCGTATGGGTTCCAATAAATTTCTTCCCTTTTGCTTAAAAAACAAACAAATAAGCAAAACCAATTTGGCCTCAACTTTCATTTGAAACAGTCTCTTTACTTTATTTGGAAACCAACATTGAAAATATTACTAGTAATAACAATAAAATCATGGACTTTGCTTCCATAGAAAACAATAGCTTTACCTGTAGGGTTTTAAATTGATATTTATGTTAAACAGTTTTACAATTCTTTACCTTTCTTTTTTATTTCAGAAGTCACTTTCTTCTCAGATTTCTTCTTTTCCTCTTCTTTTTCTAGGGAAGTAATTCAAAATCCTTACTTGGGAAAGATTAGAACAAAAGGAAAGCCACGGCTGCCATAAGGAGCAAAGGTAGATCAATTCTGTCACCAGATAGATGTCCTTGCTCTCAGTCTTGTTTTCCTCCTCTACAAAACAATACTACCCTCCTGAAAGTAGACACTCTTTAAAAAGCATTCCACAGAGTGACTGGATCATAGCAGCCTGCCAGCTGTATGTGTGTGGACACAGTTAATGTAGTGGTAACCCGTTGGGCTATGATCCTCATGGTCAGCAGTTCTTAACCACCAATAGCTCCAAGGGAGAAAGACTGGACTTTCTACTCCTGTAAACAATTACAGTCTCAGAAACACACAGAGGGTCCCTATGAGTCAGCACTGACTTGATGTCAATGGTAGTGACAGTATGCGCGCGCGCGCGCGCGTGTGTGTGTGTGTGTGTGTGTGTGTGTGGAACATATGACATGTATGTATATATATATGGATGTGTACATATAAAACATAATGAATAATCTAGTTTCAGTTGTCTCAGGCACAGTTTGTAAACTACCCAAAGTAAGATATTAATATGTAAATATAAAAGATAACTTCTTAGTTATGCCAGTAACCTAAAATAATTATTTTTTCTTTTGTTCCATATGTTGTACCCATAGATAGATTGCCTTTAACTCTATTTTTAATTTGACCATTTTTCAAATCTGTCTCTTGTCAACAGGCATGTGGGACCTGGTGACATTTGTCTGGCAGCATGTTGGGGACATAACTTTCACTGTCCTTTCTGAATGCTTGTGTTAACAAAGTCACAGACTGTCTTTGCACCCAGCGGCTGTAGTAAGTCTGGATGCTGTGGAGTAGGGTGATGGGTCTCTAGACTTTTTCCTGACAAACCCCTGTTTTCCAAGGTCAGAAGAAGCCTGGGCCTGAGGGGAAAGCAGGAATGTCAATGTGCCTCCCAGCCACAGCCATGTGAAGACTGGGCATCCATGGACCCATTTCTGGTAAGTGTAGTCATCGCATGGCTTCTTGAATGGAGAGTCATGAATAAGAGCAAAAATTGAATGCATAGTTCTAGTATTAATCTGCACGTTGTCTGGTGGTTGCATCTAATTAAATATAAGAATTAATTCATTCCCTCAGGCATAGAGCTCTTTTACCTTCAAGATCAAAGACAGCACTTTCTATGTTAGAAGTATAATTTATAAAGAACCCCTTTTCATTACTCCTAGAGGTAATGTCATAGAGAGAAATATATTCACACTTTCTCTAAATGTGTCTGTGGTGTACTATTAAAGCTCATCCAGTCAAAGTAGAAAGTTAAGAAATTAAAATTTGAAAGTTCCAATATTAGAAATAAACCTATTGAATTCCAATTTGCCTTTCCCTAAGGGTTATGTGGATTAAATATGCAAATCATATTGGAAAGTCTGAATAAGAATATTTTAATTTAAGCATTATTACATACATCTTCTTTCGGGAAATTTTATGTAGCAGAGTATTTTTCTATATTATCTAAATGTGTGTGCCAGACAATGGCGTTGACATTTGCTGAATATCATCTGCTAATGTCATGAACAGAAAAGGGTTAATTAAGATATATGTGAGTTGTAAATATTTTTATGTTCATATCAAAAATCAATATGATAATCAAAATCACAATTTTTTATCCAAATATCTACATGTCTTCATAGCACAGATGACTACATATTCAATTTGAAGTTTAAGCTTGTGTAAAGTGATCAATCTTAATTGAATTCACAAAGAGATAGGCATTTGAGGTCCTATAAAGGAAGGCTTTCTTTCTTTCTTTCTTTTTTCCCCCTTAGGAGACTACTCTTGTGCACGAAATTCTATCTTTTTAAATTAATATAGCTGGGGATTTATTTGGGGTTTTATTGTGGTGTTACAATATCATTGCCTTCGTCCGGATTGAATTAATGCTTCCATTATGCACTCTGCCTGTGATTACAGCCATGCACTGAAAGAGTCATGAATAAGATCAGAAGTCCAGCAAAAGCCAGTATAAATAATGTACTTTAATAACATTTTTATGAATTAGACCTTTAAGACGTCATTATGGGACTGATTTTATTCATGGCGAAGCCCCTGCATTTCGTCAAGTGCTATGATCTCTATGCTATAAGTGATTTGGCAACAATGAAGTTAGGCTTTTCATTTTTCAAAGACACAAGGATTTAATTATACCCTACTGCAAAAGTAACCCACGTTTCTTTTCTGGAAACTCCTCTCCTCCTATATTGCTTATCCTCCCGCCGCCATGCACAGAAGACAGCCTCCGGTCACTGTTTGAACATATCCAATTTCCTCCCCACAACCTCTTCCAAGGTTTTCATTTGCTGCTGTGCATGTGACAGTGAAGACGAGCCAGACCATTTAATACCTCAGTGTCCAAGGGTTTGTACTGAAGCGTAGCTATAAGGGGAGACCTTATTGGCTTATAGCAAAGATGATCTTCAGCAAATGTCATAAGCCCTGAAGTGATTTCATGGTTGTTTGTGGCAAAGATCACAGGCAAGGTTTGTTTTAGGGGAGAAATGCTCCCTACAATTAGTACCCTGAAGCAGCAAATACGTTATTAATTTTTGCATAAATTAACACCAGAGGAGAGAAACACTCCGATTTTTTTTACCTCCTAAATCCTTACAATATGCTCCCCTTTTGTTTTAAATGTTTTCATGACATCTCAAGCCCAGGGAATATTCAACAGTTAATTATAATTACAAAGGCTTTTAAGATGCATGTGCCTAATTAAAAAGAGAAAAGAAGAAACAAATGCAAAACTTTCAATTCCATCTACACATTGTTCCACCCCTCTTTGTCTTTTTGGCGTGGAGATGATCCAAATTCAACGTTTCAAGTAAATGTCCCTTCCTTCCAAAACTTGATCATTGAGTTTGACGCATGCTTGTTTCCAGTGAAATGTACAAGGGCTTATTTTGTTCATAGCAAAGCATTTCAAAACCTCATTACTACCACAATGTTTAGTCTCTAGAGTGCCAGAGTTTGTCCTGAAAACCAGCTCATGTGGAGATTTTCAAATAAGTATATATTTTTTAAAAAGTTAAGTTCAATGACATTAACTCCTGTCCTCTTATCTAAAGATGGACGCGAGGCATTGGAGAGAGTGTGGGTATGAGCAGCAGTGACTCTGTTTTGAGTTTTCTTTTCTGGGAATGTGACATTGGACAATATGTTTATACTATGAATTTTATTTTCCATTGGAAATCTGATACAAATAAAACCTACTTGCTGGTTTATTGTGAGGACTGAAGATAGCTAACATGCTGTTAGCTGTTTATAAATTAATTATAGTAATGACCAATTATTACTGTATCTTAGAAATAGTAACAACCTATGTCCAGTCTTCAGTAGTTTC